AGTGAGAGAAGGTATATACAGGGCCTCCTTTCGTAGAGGGTGACGTCATCGATCGATAAAACGAGCAAGGAGCGCAGGTTGTCTCACGGATCCTCTCTCTCTCTCTCTCTCTCTCTCTCTTTCTATCTATCTTTCTCTTTCTATCTATATGTTTTTATCTCCCTTCGACTTTATAAGGAATCTTGTATAACCGACGCGTGATTCGTCCGGAGTTTGTACTCCTTCTTTCTCTCTTTATCTCTCTCGCTCACTCATTCTTCATTCTTATTATTATCAGAGTCTCGTTTCACGATTATGTTCGTCGAATTAAAACACTGCTACTACTTATCTCTTTTTATAGAAAATTGTGAAAAAGTGTAGATTTCTTCTTGTTTTTTTTTTTTGTAAAAATGCATACGCATATCAACGTCCTTGAGATTTTCATAATCTCTTTCGTAAATGTCATTGATTTGTATTGATACATTAGTAGGGGTTTAATCGAAGAATAGTTATATATACGTATTTATATACAAAATATACACACACACACAAATAAACATCTGCATCGTAACAAAATCATAATGATCCATAAGGAAAATGAACGTAATTTGATGCAGGAGGACACGTGCCTGAGAAAAGAAAAAAAAACCATACCAGATCGAAAACGAAGTAGCGTCTCGATTAGGGTTATTCTTAGAAATGAAATATTCGCACGCTTGCAAGCTGTCACGAAACTAAACAGCAGGGATAAATGATTGGAACAATACATGTATCAGGTGTCATAAACGCCCATGCTACTTATGTGTGATCCCCTTTTTTATTATATAAGCCAAATCAGGCTAATATTAATTTCTTGATTAAAAAAAAAATAAATATGGAAAAAGAAATGATATTTATTGAATCTAATAAATTAATTATTATTCGTTGTGTAATATATCGAAGATAAGAGATTAGATTCGTTTTCGTCTCTACTTTCGAACGAAGGTGAGATCTAATATACACGTTTGTATCTAATGTAAACAATAACAAATGCGTTATCGATAGCATTGGTTAGTTCTCGAAAAGGTCGACTACAATTACGATGTGGATTACAATTTATATTATTACATCTAAAATAAAATTATATTTCTTCTAGATATATTGTATTCGAATAAGAGACAATATACAAGTTCATTTTCTAATGTACGAATGATGAAAAACTTTTCCTCCTCGAGACAAAATTTCTCTTCTCGGTTGGACGTTATTAAACCATAAATCATTGCAGACGTTTGTACAATACATGAATAAAGCTTGCACGTGGTTATAAAGTATTTAACAAGTATAACAAATCGACAGTACTCAACAAACCATTTGTTCAGAATAATGAAGTTCAGACAAAAGTAATATTTCGAGTAAACAAATACCCTAAGGAATTTTTTCGTATTTTACAAAAGATTGTTAAATATATTCGATCGTAACTATTAATTTCTTTTATTTAAAACGTTTTTCTAAATATTTTTCACAAATGCGATAATCAAATCTATGAAAAGGAAAACAAAACAAAACAAAAAACTATAGTAGATTTTACAATTCTTTTCTCAAATTTATTACAATTTTCAATATAGGATCGTTAAAAATCATATCTAACAAAATTATGGCCCGAAGAAAACTTTCATGAACGGACAACTTTTACATTGTAAATACGTGTCAATGGAGAAATGCAAGACACTTTTGAGGTCGAATATTTTTCATTAATGTATGATTAAACGAATGTGACGAAATATTTGTGTCGTTGTTGAATTTTCATATCTTCACCGAATCTTATCGTACAATTATAAACTAATTACTTCGAGGGATTAATGGCACAGAAATAAAAACTGTTCATGATATATCACTTATGATAGTTTCAACATCATCAGTCTGCGGGCAGGCAATTCTATACCATTAACAATAATTAAATGCAATTAACACATATTTACTAGGTGAAATAAATTACACTTTGAAATTTTCAACTACGATAAATATTAATACAATCTTTTAAATAGTCTTCAACACCTAACTTATTTAATTTCACAAAGCATACAATGAATTAAAAATAAGTGTGCAACGTAATCGTAATTTTAAAACCTGATAAACCAATTCTTTTTTTTTTACGAAACGCGTTATCTAGTTCTATATATATATATATAGATATCTTTTAGCCATGACTACTAAGAAATCGACTATGACGAAAATTATGCGAATTAGATGACACAGTCAATATTATAATAATCATCAATGGACGAATATGACAGCCGGATGACGTTGCAAATATTATTAACAAGAAAACAAAAAGAAAAAGAATTTAAAAAAAAAAACAGCAAAAAAGAAAAAGTAATAAAAATATAAATAAAGGAAGAAGAGAAGATGAGTTGTAACAAAGAGAAGTTCGCTTGCAGAAGGTAGAAGATTCGCGCGTGGCAACCACGGACGGCTTTTGCCATGAAGAAACAAAGGTTAGAGCCGTTCCTCGTAAATCCTCTCGGCATCTCAAACTTCTTCTTCTTCTTCTTCTTCTTCTTCTTCTCCTCTTCTTTTTCTTCTCTTCTTCTTCTTCTCCTTCTTAACGCTCGCCACGAAACTAAACTCTCCACTGAGGGAAGTTGTAAAATCGCGAAGAAACCAAAAGGAAAGTAGTATCGAATGAATACTTTGAATGCGCTCGTAAAAAAAAAATATATATATATATATATATATATATACTAGGGTGCCCCGGCCACGCGTTGCTGTGGCTTTTTTTGAGGTGAAAACTTTTTCAAAATCAGATC